AAACGATTCGCGCTGTTATTGACCTTACCGCATATTCATCCATTTGGCATCACTAATGGGATCGAGGCCTATATAGATAATTAAAAATAGGCCCAGTATTGCCTTCAATTATGAACACGCTCAAAAAGTCCCATACGCCCCCATCTCTTATTTTGTTTTACAAATAATTCCGGAATCAATAAAATGGTATCAGTAGGATATAAATTGTGACTACTGGACAATTGTAATGATTGTACTGGCATCAGTTCATTTGTATAGACAAAAATCAAGTTGGTCAAACAAATAAAAATTGAGTTATTCTAATAGGTATTTGTATTGCAATGTCACACTCAGTCTACTGTCTGTAATTGGCCAAGTTAGCCCTACATCATAACCTGAGACCCCCAGCAAACGTTCTTTTTCAGTGCCGCATCATATAATACGGTTCATCACCATTGCCGAGGATTTATATTAATATACCAAGTCAATAATGTTTATACCAGCTCTGGGTGGCGTTTGCGAAATCTCCCCCACCAATCTTTTCCGAGTATGCCGTCTTTCAGCGGGGTTGTGATTTCCGATCTTTGCATAAGGTTGTGGCCCTGGCAATGAATTGACGCCTACCAAAGCCCTGCTTTGCCAGATCCATAGCCATCGGAGTCATTTTATCTTCAATGACTGGCTTTCTACCAAGACTGACTTCTACTGCTTTCTTCCCAGATATACGATCACCTAATGTACTTTTTAGATTTAGGACTTTTCGGCAGCTTGCCGCACACTCATACCATTATTGACAGCATTAACCACGTCCACCATTGCCAGGACGTCATACTGACAATAGATATTTCTCCCTTTAGGTGGTATATTTACTAAAGATACATTAAGAAATATAAACTTATTTTTAATTTTACTTATCATGTATATAATGATGTTTTTCTGTGATATTATTTAGCATGTCTCGAGATAATCAACATTAAAATGTGTTTGGCGCAATATAGCCCGTGTGCCGACGTGCCATAACACAACATTTCATTTCATAAAACAGTGAATATTGTGTGTTTTTTTTTTTTACATTTGCTTTAATTTCAATAGGTTATCTCGTCCAGTAAGTCTTTAATTAAATCAATATCGCATAGACACTGTTTAGGATTGTTTATAAATTTCTTGACTAGAAAGACGACGCTAAATTTGTCACTTACGGGTTCAAATTTGTTGGTAAGTAAAAGAACATATAAAATGTTTATTGTTGTACCTTGGTTATATGTACATTTAGAAGCAAGTTTGATTATTGACTCGATAAGGGAAGGCAACAAATAATGATCATAGCACCATTCGCGATCTAAAAAATACCAAAGTTTATATCTTATGTGATATTTAGTATTCTTGGGTGGTGTATTCCAGTACTACGGTGATTTATTAATTTAAGTAAAGACATCTGAGATTGGTGAAGGATATATACTCTTCAAAAAAGGTAGGTGATATTGAAATGCAAATACCTATGCAGATTGCGATATGATAATGGACATTTGACATGCTTAGAGAGCATGTTCACAGATGAAGAACTTATCGCCCCAACAGAATCACTGAGTTGCACATGCAACACGCAATAGCGCCATACACGTGGGAGGGGTCCATTGTCAAATTTGACACTTCAAGGAAGGCTTGATGAAAACTGACGCGTGCTGGTTTATCTATCCATGTTTGCTTTCCTGTCGGTTCTTGCATAGATTTACTGTTTAGCGTATCTTTGCTTTAGTGTGTTATGTTTAATTTGATCGGGAGACGTGTTCATCGACATCAACGTCAACCGACAACACTGCAAGAACTGACCTTGGCACTGCAAGAGGAGTGGGTCAAATTGCCCCAAATCGTGATTGGACGGTTGATTAGGAGCATGCCACAACGAATTGCTGAATTTCTGAAGATTGATGTAGCAATTACTCATTATTAAGACAAAAATCAAAAACGTCCATTTTGACAGTGTATCTCTTTGCGAGTGAAATGGGGCCGTCAGATAAACCGCCCATATGAACTGTTTATGTTCATGTGTAGGCAATTGACCTGTTATTAACCAGGGCTTTCGGTAATTTTTCACAGATGATTAGCAGCACTGCTAATCAAAAAGTCCAATTTTGCCAAATTTGATTAGCAAATTTAAAAATTGATTAGCAGTTTTTCAGTTTCAAATCAACATAAAACACCCAAATAACAAGATTATTTTAATTTTAATTGATAGCAAATGATTAGATTTCATTCTTAAGATTTTTTTAGAATGTTAGCACTTCTACAGCTAGCTGTGAACATTTCTGAATGAATGTAGACTTTTGTTAGGCCTTATGTCTGAAGCCAATTCTTGGCAGTGGCTTCTTATTTCTTCGTTAGAAAACAATTTCGTCTGCTTTTTATCGTGTGTTATTATTTTTGTTCAATCGGAAGCACGCGGTATTTTACGAATAATCTCGATTAACTAGACGCACGCGATATAAACAATAATAGTTTACGGGAATTCTTACTTTGATTTCTCACTTTACAATACGTTTACACGTATTTATTTTTTATATTTTATTTACAATACGTGGGGGATACACTGAATTTATTTTTTTTAAAATTGAATACTGATATAATTACTCGAAATTGACATGTCTCGCAACGTGAGTGGTACTACTTGATTCCCTATTTCCAGTTTAATAGTCCCGATTCATAGAGTTATGTCCCTGTATTATATAGTATCATGAATTGAGTCTGGGTAGTTCGAGAAGAAAATGTCACACGGAGAATTCCGTTTTGTTTATAAAATTTATTTGATATTTTATACGCGTTGAAAGTGTTGAGAAATGTGGATAAATCTTTGTGTCAATATCCAAAATGACAGGCATATTAATGATTCGCAGTTACTGCGAATCAAAAACGTTAGATTTTAATTTTTGATTAGCAACGGACAAAATATGTATCGCAAATTGCGCTGCGATACTGGTTGTCGGCAGCCCTGTTATTAACATACATTGGTTACCTCTAATAAAAACAGCAGTGCACTTCCGCAGTTTTGTATTGTTTCTGAATATACCCTACTTTTTTGGAAGAGTATATATATATTATGTATATTAAATGATTCTATGATTACTGTTCGTGTATATATTTATATATACCAGTAATAACCAGTTTTGAATCTTTGCAAGCCTTCTTTATTTGCCTACGAATAAATTATTATTATAAAAAGAAAATTTATTTAATACCGTCGCTGTGACCGCAATATACCCCATATTGACTGTTATCCACGTCCACAGCCAGACGTCAGGATGTCTCCGAAGATCCCCGCCAAGCATAATGTTGTGTGGCAGGGATCTTCGGACAGTATAAATGTATTGATTTATAGTTTATTATTAATCAGGGCAGCATATAAATTACACAAAAATGATCTTTAATAAATAAGCTATCAAAAAGGATACATTAAAAAACAGGGTGCTGGATAATCTCTTATCAATAAAGTAAAAAATGTGAAGACGTCAACATATAGTTCTTTCAGTCTGAATTTGTAATTGGCAGGCAAACATATGACACGCGCACATGACACTTTTTGGCCTATTAAATCGTAGTTTGTTATGAAAACAATAGAACAATAAAAGTAATTCAACATTATTGTAAGAAATGTTTTTATTGGTTTTTATTATAAATAGATTGTCGTATTAACCAATAGGAGTACAGACGAAAATAGTAGATGTTTAATAAAGCGTCTGAACATCCCTGTATGTCCAAAGATCCCCGGTTTTACCCTACACATAAATTCAAAAGGGGTGAAGGCTATTCATACATGTATTTGCGATTTAGATTTATGTACATGATGTAGGCCTACATTGTAAATATGTACCAGGCTTCAAAATTGGTGGACGCAAAGACACAAAAAGCGTGCTAAAATATGAAAATAGCGTGTTAGATTTGAACTAAAACGCAAAATTTTGCGCCTACGGTAATTTAGTTTTAAGCAAGTTTTAAAACTTGAATTTTTCTATAGCTTAATTCTGTGAAAAGGTTGAAAATGTTTACGATAAAATTTTACGTAAGACGCCATTTTGCCTATAGACTCACTTTCCTTTAACAAACTCTGAGTCTCAACGAAGAGACCAGATATAATCGGCCATGCGTAACTTAACCAATGAAATAACAATACGTCACCTTCCCGACAAATAATATATGCAAAACTGAAACCATGTGATATTATTGACCAATCATGTTATCCCTAACTGTGTTGACCCTAAGAAGGCGAACGGGCCATTTCACACGGTTCACACAGCCGTAACTAAAATACTAGGCCTACAGTTGACTGATGTAGTATTTTGGTCTAAACGATGATTACAACATTTTGTAAACGCAAAAACCAATAAAATACACATTTGTGAATAAGTGGTGGTTAAATGGACAAAAGGTCCAAACGATCAAATTCTGTTCCAATACTTCCATTTGGCACCAGGCAGAAAAATTTTGTATTAATTTTAGATTTACAACTAGAATTACTGAAAGTTTTTGCTTGTTACACTTTGTTTTTGCTTCTAATTTTTAAAAATAACAAGCAATTAAAATATTGCTTCTGGTATTGGAAATAAGATTCGAACCCTGTATGTACGTATACGTCTGTACTTCGTGAAACATGACCCAATCCCATAATATTTACAAAGAATATTTGTGATCAATTATGTACCCTATGTACATCATGCATGTGCATGATGTGTTTTAAAATGAAAATTTATCCCTGAATATATGTCTATAGCGAGACATAACCAGATGTTGGCGTGGTGGTCGACATTCAGCTCAATGAAAGTATGGTGAAATGCTGGAGAATATTTGGTGGTCTGTCTCCAAAATCAAAAGGTAGTGAGTGTGAATGACTGAATGATCAGTCACACAGCACAGGTGTTGACAGTTTATTATGATCTGTCAGACGCTTGTCAAATCAATATTGCTCGCATCTAAGAAAAGAATTAAGCTAACAATGGAACGAGTATTTTGAATTATCCATAAATGTTTACCTGATGTCTCCAAAAGAAAACTTGTCAACAGATTTGGGGACAGCTCTTCCAAACTTGAGCAAAACTCCTGGAATGCTTTGGTGCCCTTTACAGACAGCAAGTCCAAAAATACTTCTAACTTCTTAATATTGTCAGTTATAGACGAGATTTCTGTCTCTTCGACTGCTGTAAAAACACCTTTTCGTGCAAGTTTCGGAAAAATTCTATTTATGTCTAATTCTTTTAACAATCTTGACCGATGTCTCTCAAAGAGGCGAGCTACACCACCTCTGCCCGCCATCTTTCTAATTTGACACCGAACGGAGATAAATAAAAGATGTGGATTACATGAAGACCAATCTGAATTATAATAGAACGATTTCTGAACGTCATTGATTATTTCGAGTCATATATTTAACTTTCAAAGATATTTTATTGATATTGAACACAGAGAGCAGTATTTTCTTTTAAGGGAAATTAGTGTTATTCCCATTAGCCCATTCGATTTTCATTTGACCCCAAAAGTGACGCGATATATAGCGCCATCTACACAATAACTTGTCAAAGAAGACCACGAGTTTCACACGTTGGTTTGTTTTCATCACGTGTACATCCAGGAAGAATCCAATAGGTCTTGGGATATTCCATTAATTGGGCAAACATGGCGAATTGAAAATAATAATTGAATAACATGTAACGGGACCATTTGGCAACCATTTTTGTTCTGAATCACGTAGTTATCGAGGGACGAAACATGGAGAGTCAGAGTGGCAGTGATGATGATAATGCTGGTATGAAATTATTTTTACTTCAAAAGTAGCTAAGTCTCTAGCCTAACTCAATCATCCAAAGTCTTACACGTTGAAAAAACGAATTATTTGTCAATTCAAATCAACATTGATGTTGTATTGTAATCTTACCCGGAAGAGGTAGGCTTCTGATATCCAATATTTAAGACAAAATAAACATTTGACCATTGGTACACGAATCGTGTACATATATAGTGGGTTTCTGCGTCATTTGTAACAAGTGACCAGAAAGAACGAGGCTAGACCTATTCAACAACTCATGTCAAACGGTGATGCCATATCTTATCTGGAGAGCATGCGCAATAGACTGGAATAACCAGACGCTAGAAATTGGCATTATGCCGTATTTCGCTGGACATAACTGATTTGAAATTGGGGTCAAAACGGAAACAATTGAATGTAAATAAGTTTATATACAATCAGATTACATTATTATATGCGTTGCGACCCATTTGGGTCAATTTCTAGGTCCCAAATATTAGCGATTTAGCTCCTTTAAGATACGGAAGGGCCAGATATACTTGGTTCTTCATGCAAAAAGCATAGGCCTACAAGTTTTCATTGTATTGGTTATCTGTCCTACAATGAAAGGTTTGCTCCAGGTATTGGCAGGTTGGAGGGCCTGGCAAGGACAGCTGTCATCTAGCCATTTGGATGGTACAAAAAAACGAGGTCCTGTGTACGCAGAAGGCGTGCACGTAAAAGATCCTGTGGCAGTTGGATTTCAATATAAGAGTAGGCCATAGACAAAATGTCCTTATAGTACACTGTATGGTGTATGGCCGTCTTCATTAGCTCAGTCGGAGCAGAACAGTAGGACATTAAACCCCATTTCATTTCATTGATATAAGAGTAACCCGCAGCGCCGCTGTCCAGACAAAATGTCCTTCATTTCAAAGCCCACTGTATGGGGTATGCCCATCATTATTAGCCCAGTCGGAGCAGAATAGTTGGACGTTAAACCCCATTTCATTTACAATAAAAGTGTCAATCAACGATAACGGCGGCCATGTATTGATTGCAATTATTCCGTTTCACGTAAAAGACATTTAGGCTTTCACAATTATAAAATCATCAGCAGTGATCGGCCAGTCAAGCTCATTTACTATTTGATAAAAGAAAAACAAAAAAGTATTACATAATATCCACAAATTTTCAACAATATTTTATTGTTGAGTTCAATAGGCGCCGATTAAACAAAACAGTCTTTTAATTATTCTTCCGAGTCCAAAACATCACCAGACCGAGTCCGAAAAGTCGCCAATTAAGCCCAAACCCTTCGTCAAACTGAGTCCGAAAGGTTGTCTGTGTTGAGTCCGACGGAAATGTCATGCTACCATGTATGAGTAGGCTATGAGTGTGATTCATATTTAAGGTAGACCGAAGAAAAAGTATAATAGAGGACAATATCAAACTGTATCAGACCACTTGTTGTTGCACAAGTTTGATTCTTGAATACTACCAACCATAATATTCATTGGTCAAATTTTGTAAGACCCCTAGTCATTTTAATTAGAAATATTTTTTTACAATTAATTGGGTAATTAGGTCTTACTGCTACTACTAGAATGTCACAGCATCTGCAGACATACTGTCGTGATAAGTTTAGATGTAGACCTATCATGCTATACTTTGACCTTAGGGAGACTATTTATACAAGTTGTGATATTAACCAATACCATAATTTTTTTATTGACAGGGTCTGGTTCAGACCACGAAGGAAATAGACATTCTGGTTCAGAAGCAGGTTCTCCAGCTGGCAGTGGATCTGGATCAGGTTCAGATAGTGAGGCAGGCAGTCCAGTTCGAAGCGGTAGTGATAAGAGCCGGTCACCAAGTCCGACGGCTGGTTCTCCAGCTGTTAGTCCAGCAGGTTATTTTCTTTTCATATTTCCTATTTTTATATGATTTTAGTGCTTGGACTTCCCAAGTCTCCTTGTGAGACATGTGATTAACTATGGCGCCCTCAAGCACTAGGTTTCTTTCAAGGAACCAGGGCAGTCAATACTTACATTTACCAAGTGTTAAGAGGTTAATATACTATTCAAAAAAAGTAGGGGATATTTGATTTTTAAGTGTTATTAAAGTCACCTAATGAAACTGACGAAGAAACAAATGACAAAATGAAATGAAGTTCACATTCATCGATTTATTCCAAATGATCGTTAGACTAAGTAAGGCACAGACTGACCATTATAAGGGTGAAATGATACCCGGGGTCAAACAGCAAAGTTACCACAGCATCACAACCAAGTCAGTAACGGGTAAATCCTCCTCTGTTTGCCAAACAAGCATTGATCCGACGTGGCATACTCCTAATGAGACGTCTAAGGTCATTTTGGTCCAGATTGTCCCATTCCTGTTGCAACGCAGCAGCAAGTTCTTGGACATTGGCAGGACGTTGTTGACGTTGACGTAACCTCTGTCCAAGCATGTCCCAGACATGCTCGATGGGGGAGAGGTCGGGACTCAGTGCTGGCCAAGGTAATGTGGTGATGTTCTGTTGTTGGAGGTAACCTGTAACGATCCTGGCCCTGTGACATCTTGCGTTGTCATCCTGGAAGATGAAACGGCGGCCATGACGTCGTGCGAACGGCACAACATGGACTGCCAAGATGTTGTCTCGGTAGTACTGGCCTGTAACACGCCCTGCAACAAGATGTAAAGCCGTTCTTCCAGCAACAGTGATGCCTCCCCACACCATAACAGAACCACCCCCAAATCGATCATGTCTGATGACGTTAACGTCTTGGAAGCGCTCGTTTCGACGACGCCACACCCTCCTACGTCTGTCCAAAAAATCAACAGTGAACCTTGACTCATCTGAAAACATCACATTGCTCCAGCGTCGATTATCCCAGTGTTGACGATCCCTACACCAACGACGTCTTGCCTGAATGTGATGATCTCTCAAACAAGGGATCACGCGAGTACGTCGGGCGCGAAGGTGACCCCTATGCAGTCGATTCCAAATCGTCTGGCCACTCACTCTCACACCAGTGTCTGTTTGAAGACGAGCGCTGATCTGATTTGCTGTGATGACACGATTTCTCAAGGCCAAGGTACGGATAAATCGATCCTGGGCTTGAGTTGTCGCCCTTGGTCGTCCTGAGCGTGGTCTGTCCTGTACAGATTGTGTATCACGGTATCTGGACCATAGCCTGCTTATGACAGACTGAGAAACATTCATCGTCCGCGCCACAACCGCCTGTGTTGTGCCGATCTGTAGCATGCCAAGGGCACGTAACCTTTCATTTTGGGTAAGCCGACGCATATCAAAATTTGTTTTCTGGTCACTAAAACAATTAAACTGATGTTTCCACCCTGGAATTCAATGCCACAATGACTGTAACATTCAAAGTCAGAGTCGTGCAAATCTTGGGTTGGACCCCCATGATGATCCCAAGCATCACCTGCATTCCATGCGGTAGCTATTGGTGCGTTTGGGCGTCACATGTAACTGGAAATGTTTCTTCTGTTAGGTTCTATAGTGACTTTTTTCGTAGTCATTTGCATATTTTAGTATTATGCCCCCAAAATCAAATATCCCCTACTTTTTTTGAATAGTACAGTGTATATATCATTATAATACGAAAGCAAAATAGACATTTATTGTAATTTTTTTTAAAAGTAAAAATTGATGTGAACCTTATTATTAATAAATAGAGGATGTAAAATTGATGTGAACCATATTAATAAATTGAGGATGTAAAAATGCATTTCTATAGTGAAGGTTTATTTCTTTTTTTCTTGCACATATCAGGAAGCCGTCATAGTAGTAGAGGAAGCAGTCCAGTAGGAAGTGGTGGTGGCAGTGATCATGAAGATGGGAGTGGTGCTGCAAGTCCTGCTCATAGTGGAGGTGGTAGTCCTCAACAAAGTAATGGTGGAAGTCCAAGAGACAGTCCAGCTAGTAGTCCAAGAGGAAGTGGAAGAGGTAGTAATGTGGGTAGTCCTGAGGCCAGTGATATAGGCACACCTGCGGGAAGCAATGCTGGTAGTCCTGCAAGGAGTGCTGCTGGTAGTCCAGTTGCCAGTAGAGATGGTAGTCCAGCAGGCAGTGAAGGTGGTAGTCATAGAGGTAGTCCAGCACAGAGTGGTGGTGGAAGTCCCGCCAGTAGTGGAGGTAGAAGTCCCACTGGCAGTGGAGGTGGAAGTCCAGCAGTCAGTGGCAGTGAAAGTCCAGCAGGCAGTGGTGGTGGAAGTCCTGCAGGCAGTGGCGGTGGAAGTCCAGCAGGCAGTGGCGGTGGAAGTCCAGCAGGCAGTGGCGGTGGCAGTCCAGCAGGCAGTGGCGGTGGAAGTCCAGCAGGCAGTGGCGGAAGTGCAGCAGGCAGTGACGGTGGAAGTCCAGCTGGCAGTGGCGGTGGAAGTCCTGCAGGTAGTGGTGTGGTTGGCAGCCCTGTAGGTAGTGAAAGAGGAAGTCCAGTGGGCAGAATTAGCCCTGCTGTAAGTGGTGGGGGTAGCCCAAAGGAAAGTAAAATGCCTGACAGAAGTCGCTCCAACAGTCCTGATGGAAGTCGTGGTGGGAGTCCTCATTCAGTTAGAAGTGGTTCAAAAAGTCTTGCAAGGAGTGGGCACAATAGTGCTGAAGGAAGTAATAGAGGGAGTCGACCAGGATCACCAATGGATGAAGGAAAAAGGAGTAGATCGCCTAGTCCAGCTGGAAGTAACCAGTCAAAAGGTAGTAGAGGGTCTCCTAAAGATGTACATATGGCTAGTGATAAAGATGGCGAAGGAAGTGGATCAGGTACATTATGAATACTTTTATTTTTAATACAGTACTAGTTCAAGTCCCAATAGTTTTTATGAAAGTGTGAATTTTTTTTTTTAAGTAGGCCTAATATGGTTTACTTCCAAAATGATGTTTGGCTATAAATACCTTAGATTACACCCTCTTTTGTCCAAATTTAAGATACCTTCCTTCTCAAAACATTGCATTTGTGAGGGAATAACCCTCCTATAAAAAAAAAATCTATTAAAAGAGGTCATGTTTGTGTCATGTGATTGGCTGAGGGGGTACCTTAGCAACGGGTACGAAGTCAGAGGAGAGTTCATTGCATATACAAGACGATGCCTTTAATCGCCATTTATTTATTTTAAATATCGAAGCCTAATTAAATTGTCGGATTATCCACTGCCTACCTTTTTTTCCGTCTTTTTATCTCAGAAACTGTTGTACTCTTAAGCTCACCATCAAGTTTATTAACAAATACATCAAGTGCTCACTAATCAGACGATCTTTACGTGCTTTGACGTCACTCGAGCAGATATCCCTAATCGTCAGGTTGCTGGTTAGGGATACCCTTACATTTTTGTCTTGTATACGCTCCATGGGTGTTTTTCAGGGAATCCAGTATTTTCCAATAAGATTAGATTTTTCTACTTTCAATATATACCAAAATTGACATATTTTTATTGGAAATAACCACCTGATAAATACTTTTGTGGGAAAGTATCTTTAAATTTGCTTGTTGAAACTAATTTATATTTTTTGTGAAAGGTTTATTATGTCTCTTCCAGATAAAGAAGTTAAGAAAAGAAAAAATGCCATTATGAGTGATGAAGATAGTGATGAAGAGGTGGGAAAAAAAGTACATGGTTCTGATGATAATATGGAAGGTAAATAGATGTATTGTAATTAGGGATTATACAGTTTAATTACCTATGTAATTACAATATCAAAGAGCAATTTAGATAGTGTCTCTGCTTTCACAAAAAAGAAAAAAAAAACAGTAATAGAATAGTTTTACTTTTAATCACCTATCCACAAGTGAGAGTCCTTTTCATATTAATAGGATCGGCCCACTGCTTTAGGTTAAAACACTAGACACAAAGAGATCCATCCAGAGGTTGTAATCACAGAAGTCAATAATTTTGCCAGTTACACACGTCAAATTTTTTGACACATTTGCTTTGATAAGCATGTTCAGAAATATGACTTTTGTTGAGTAATAATTGTGACTTTAATGTACACAAACTGATTTTGGAGTTGTCTGCCTGATGCCGGCATTCACATATATGTACGCTAAGGGACAGTGAGCATTTAACTTATTCTGCTTAAAATCAAGAATTTTATTATAATAAATTAATAATGCATTTGTATTACATGTATGTAATTATTTTTTAACAGCAACAATGGGTGATTTGTTTGGTGATGCTGATGATATTAGTTCTGATGAAGATGATAAAGAGAAGAAAGGGAATGATGAATCTCAAATACAGGTAATATTCACTTCCAACTTGTTTAAATGTAAATATTTATCGTTTTTCAGCATATGTAGCCATCTGAATAGTAATCAATCATGAAATCATTTGATATTCTTAACCCAGTAGATTCCCATTTACCTGAAATTGTGATTAAGTTTTTTTTTTGTTTTTTTGTTTTTAAAATAACCTGTTTGCTATTGTTTAGCTGACATAGATCAAATTTGTTAATTTTTCTTATGCAATAGCATCCACGTTTTGATGACGATGAGGATGAGCAGAATCAACAAGAAGAAGAAATACCTGAAACCAGAATAGAAGTTGAAATACCACGTATTGTTACAGATTTAGGCAAAGCTGTACATTATGCAAAATTACCTAATTTCCTTAGTGTAGAAACAAGGTAACACGATTTAGATAGATAGATAGATAGATAGATACATATATAGATATACACACATGTACTTTAACAATTCCATTCAAATCTGGATCTGTTGGTCAATTCTCAGAATATTACAGAAATTGATTGATTGTTAATCAATCCATTATAATCTGGGTGGCAGATCCTCAGATATATTTAAAACATGTTTTTAAATTAAGGTTGTGAAATATGAGATATAATAATAGATTTATTTATGGTGTTAAAGACCGTATGATTCTGCAACATATGAAGATGAAATAGACGAAGATGAAGTATTGGATGAAGAAGGTAGAGCTCGTATGAAGTTAAAGGTAAGCAGTAATTAAACATCGCTACATTGTAGTTAAACTTCACTATGATACAATTATCAAGAGCACATTTGAATTCAGTTTTCACAAATACAATGAATTTTATCCCAACACATTTTAATGCTGGGAGTCATAATTTCATAGAGCACTGAAATTCAGTACCAAATGTAGGGCGGGTGGGGAGGTGGATAACTTTAATGACTTTGGCTAAAGGTTTCTCACATAACCTACACCGGTAGTGAATGCTTGCCCTTAAAAAGGTCCCGTCTTCATAAGCCCAGTCAGAGCAGAACAGTAGGACATTAAACCCCATTGCATTTCATTTCTTAAAAAGGACAGCTGGGATTATTACCTAGATTAAAGGTTGATATAATACTGGGGGATTTGCGCTGTATTAGACACTACACTTTTGTTTTAATTAGTTTAGCCCACCAAAGTTGACTTGTCCCGGCCCCCACAAGGTTAATCCAGATCTACTGTCACTTTGGATATCCAAAATGCAAAATTTGATTTTTATACAGCCACATTAAAATGTGGACGCTCTACAGGCTAAAGTTAATATCCGATTGACTTCAAATTTATACACAGTGTTTCAGATTATGAGACGAAGAAGCCTATTGATATGCGGTGATTTCCGACAATTACTGCCAGAGTTATGGCCCTTGATCACTTTGAAAAATATTGTGGACGTTCTAGAGGCTAATGTTTATATCTGATTGACTTTAAATTTATCCACAGTGTTTAAGGTCATGAGACGAAGAAGCCCGATAATTACTGCCAAAGTTATGGTCCTTGATCACTTTCAAAAATCTTTTTGATGCTCTCCAGAGGCTAAAGTTAATATCCGATTGACTTTAAATTTATACACCATGAGACGAAGGATCCTATTGATTTTCAACAATTTCCGATAATGACTGCCAGTGTTATGGCCCTTGATCACTTTGAAATATCTTGTTGACACTGTAGAGACTAAAGGTTAATCGAATGACTTTAAATTTATACACAGTGTTTAAGGTCATGAGATGACGAAGTCTGTCAATTTTCAACGATTTCCAATGATTATGGAAATTGATATTAAATGTTTTGTATGCAAAATGTTAGAATAGGGCAGAACTAGAAGCCAAATGGGTTGTTACTTGTATTCAGATTTTAGTGTGTTGTAAATGTTTTCATTTCTGACAAAAAAAAATAAAATATGTGATGACAACCCTTATTGACACCCCGGATGACTTAGCTGCTGTTGGCGTATGTTTCATTGCCTGGCAACCAATCTTATTTTAATTTATAGGTAGAAAATACAATAAGATGGAGAAATAAGAAAGATGAAGATGGAACTGATGTATTAGATGATAATCTTAATCCAATTAGAGAAAGTAATGCCAAGATGGTTAAATGGTCAGATGGCAGGTAATTACATTTAAAGGAGAATGCTATAGTAAAAGTTTAATTTTTCCATTGTGTTACAAATTTCAGAATTATTTTTAAAAAAAAAAAAGTTTTAGTAACAAATAACATTAAAAAACACTTTCAAATTTCTGCAATTACGGAAACACCTGACAATTAATGAGCTGAAGCTAAATCACATGACATGACGTAAGAGGCGACTCTCGTGTAGGAGTCGATGTATATTTTAATATAGGCATCGGCAGAAAGTGAAAGCTTGTCAGACATTGATTTCACCCCGAATGTTGTTCCCAAACAGTACGAGCCAATTAGAACGGTGAGCAACAACGGTGCCGATAATGGTTCGGACCATTCTAGCATTTCTAGCCACGAAGAATGACAAATAGGCACTACCTTGTCTTATCACCACGAACACAGTCCTTGGACTGAGTTGGATTCTCGATAACTTTTCGCTTCATTTATTGATGTTCACGCTTCATGTGCGAAAATATATCAGAGAAAAACTATCAATTCCCGTAAGTTTACCCTAGCCATAGTGTAATACAGTATTATATGCCCTAGACTACTTTCTTTGTGCAACAATTGAAAAACGAGGATCACATACATTATATACATAGGACTATCGGCATCGAACCAGTGTATCGGCATATAACTGAAAAAATATTCTATCACACTCATTTACTTAGTTAAATCTGCGTCCATAGGCCTACACCTACTACTGACACTTGAAACACTTCGAAGTGGGGATATTAATTTAATTTTAGTATTTAGCTGGACTACCTTGCTGTGTTGTTTACATTTAGTTGCCATGGTTACATCAATCATTTCTATTGCTAGATTTTGAAAGCGTGTCGGTTTCGCCATAGAACTATGCACAATTTTAACATTGAAAGATTATAACTACTATATCTTGATCAACATAATAATATTAATATTATTAAAATTGCACTGGTCACGTTCGTAAGCAGATATCTCGAAATGCTCCGAACAAAGACAGGCGTGTTTTGACATCGCTGTGGCCAGACCATTCTGCGTGTTGCCTTGCTTGGAAATTTTTAAAAAATGACACATGCTTCCTGATTTATATTTTTGTACTATTAGTACATCCCCAATTGAGCATGTTTATGCTTCAAGTTAGACAAAATGACGGGATGCAGTGCTCAGCTGCAATAGCCTTCTATAGGGAGATTCACAAAGTCTGTAGTCTTTGACATCAAAATGAGGCTGCAGATATGCATAAATGTCAATTCAGGTTTTTATATGCCCACATTGAAATGTAGTCGTATATTGTCGTCGGTCCGGCGTCCACAATTGCTTGTTAATATTCGATTGACTTTAAATTTACACAGTGTTTAAGGTCTTGAGACGAAGAAGCCGATTGATTTTCAGCGATTTCGGATAATTACTGCCAGAGTTATGGCCCTTGATCACTTTGAAAAAACCTTGTGGACTTTCTAGAGGCCAACGTTAATATCCGATTGACTTTAAATTTATACACAGTGTTTAATGTCATGAGACAAAGAATCCTATTGATTTTCAGCCATTTCCGATAATTACTGCCAGAGTTATAGCCCTTGATCACTTCAAAAAATCTTGTGGACACTCTAGAGGCTAAAGTTATCATCCGATTGACTTTAGATTGATACACAGAGTTTAAGGTCTTGAGACGAACAAGTATATTGATTTTCAATGAATTTTGATTACTTGAAGTTGAACGGCCAAATCCATGATATTAAATGTTTCGTATACCAAACGTTAGCATGGGGCGGAACTAAAAGCCAAACATTTTCTAATGATAATTACTTAATAATGAGTTGTTACTCTTAATCAGATTTTAGTGTATTATAAATGTTCTATAACCGACAACAGAAAAAATATGCAACAACTCTTGTTGACTGCTCGGACTACTTAGCTGCTGTGGGCGTATGTTTCGTTGCTTGGCAACCTATCTTTATAAGAACACATATATTTATATTTGGTCATTTTTATTTCCCAGGTGCATATACATGTATGGTGATAAGTACTATATGGTGTAGGCTTAGATATTTCTCACAAATGATATAAGTCTTGATATAAATAGATAAAAATGGTTCAATTAAGAAAGATTTGAGGGTTTAGTTGTGGGAGGATTTACTATAACGTAACCATATTTCGAGTTTAGATTCTTATTCATTTCCGTTTCCTTATCTTCTGAAATTATATTTAAATAACAGCCATATTTTGCAATACTTCAAGTTATTTTCATTAATTAGTTCTCACTTCCATTACAGTGCTTATAGAACTGTTAATATAATTTATATTATTACAGCATGTCTCTACATCTAGGAGATGAAGTATTTGATGTTTATGCTATGCCTCTACAAGGCGATTTTAATCATTTATTCGTACGGCAAGGTACTGGTTTACAAGGTCAATCTGTATTTAAAACAAAACTAGCTTTTAGGTAAGTATGTTGCCATCTTAAATTTACACATCACGGGTCAATCATGAGTTAGTGAAAAAGTGAAATTTTTATCTACAATTACTGTGACATAGTAGTTACCGATGATAAATTGAAAGGATTAAGTTTCTTTTGCTGCTGAATGAATCCAGCAGGGTAAATGCTCATTTGAATGAGAACATGGTTAAAAAAATTCCACCATTATTATTGGCAAAGAAAATGTTGGACTTTCTGTGTATATCAGTAACAGAAGGTATAAAATTTAGTGCAATAAAATAATGTGTGTGTGTGTATGTAATCTTTTAAATACGGTATGTAATTTATTTCTTTCAGACCTCATTCCACAGAATCATTTACACATCGTAAAATGACCATGTCGTTAGCTGATAGATCTAATAAAACACAGAAAGTTAAAATGTTACCTATCACAGGTCATGATCCAGAACAAAACAGATCAGAAATGATTAAGGTAAAATCATTATTTATGCCTGAGTGGATAGGACAAAAAAAACGAAGTCCTGTGTACACATTAGCGTGCATGTAAATCAACCCTTGACTGTTGGAATTCGAAATAAAAGTAGGCCCAAGAGCTGCTGTCTGGGCAAAATCTCCCTCATAGCACACTTTATGGTGTAAGCCCGTCTTCATTGGCTTAGTCGGTGCAGAAAAGTAGGCCGTTAAACCCCATATTGTTTCATATAAAGATTTCTGGTTTGCTACTCATTGGTCAGATCAGACATTAACATATCTCAGATAAATATCAATACAAGTATAACATCAGGAGGTTTTATTTGTTCCAACTGAGGACTATGAATTCTACATCCTGTACAGATTATTACACAAGTAAAGAAGCTAAGTCTGTTTATGATTGCTGTCATAGAATAGTATACATAGTCGTCAAGAGAGATATGTTTTTCGTTGATAATTAATATTTGGTAAATTGTTTAAGTTGCATTTAGTAAATGAATGAGAATAACATACGACACAATTATATGGAATACAAGTTACTTAAAGGATTTATTTCAGCAACGTTTCTACGAGGGTTCTCCAGTCTTTAAGTAACTTGTATTTTATATAATTGTGTTATGTTTAATAATCGGTAGTCTGTTAATAATGAGGTGGTCTGTTAATAATGGGAAGCACTTGTCTGATCGAACAATAAAATTTAATTGTTATTTGAGAATTTTATCGAATGATGAGAGTAGGTCCTTTGTTGGCCAGCCTCTAGTATTTGAGCGCCTTTGTATTGTCCATGTGTCAAAAGAATTTTCTAGAACTGTATATTGACATTTTACCTTATTTACTTTATATATTTAAATTAAATAGAAAGAAGAAGAAAGATTAAGAGCATCTATAAGAAGAGAAAGTCAACAGAGACGTATGAGAGAACGTGCACATGCTCGTGGTATGAATGCTAATTATTTAGAAGGTGGTTATGATGATGAGGATGATGATGAAGAAATGTCTATAGCTGCTATCAAAAAGAAATATAAAGATGGTGTTAATCAAAGAATGAAAGGTATTAATGAATTCTGAACGCCATTTGAGGAGTAGTTAATCCCTTGCAAATTACCTTATTGTGAATGTTGAATCGTTAAAATAAATATCAGACCAAAAATAGTTCAATTTCATTAAGTAATTACAAAGATATGATTTGTAAATTTTGCAACATTCGGCATCCTCTGCAACCGATAGAAACTGGATATGGTCAAAGCGGACATAACTGAAATTGGCCAAATTTCACCAAGATCAAAACGACCAAAAATGTGACAGGATCCGTTGCAGACAATAAAAACTGGATATGGTCAAAATGGAGATAAATGAAAATGGAAAAAATTCACCAAGATCAAAACAAAAAAAAATGTGATAAGAATAATTTTGATTGTATATGGTTGTGGTCATTTTGACTCAAAGTTATGTCTGTTTTGTTCAAATTTTAGTTGAGGCCGTTTTGTATATTTTACTTCTAAGTTTTGTTGAACTCTTTTAAAAACTTGACATCAGTTCAATTTCATAAATTGATTACCCAATTTTGTAACTAAACTTTATATATTGTCCATCCAAATTTTTGAGAAGAAAGTTTATTTTTGATATCCAATTAATTTAAAATATTTGTATTTAGAGAGACCTAACATCTATAGTTCTGATAGCGAAGATGCTTATGAGACTGATAATGAGGATTTACAAGCTAAAAAACTAAATAAAGCCAAAAAATTAGACAGTGATGAGGTAGGTTATTTAGTAGATCTTATCTTTAGGTTAAACATGTTTTATATATACTGATTGCTCATTGCTGGAACTGATAATATTATTTTGTTTTGTCCTTTATTATCCCATGCCAAATAAAGTTATTATCTTGCGCCAAACAAAGTACAAACATCAACCTGTTATAGTAGTACTTGTGCCTTTTCCTAATCAAAAATTTCTCAGATTTAAAATTGTTATTTTCTGTTAAGGAGACTCTTTCGTTCCATTTGTTACTGATGATATGGTTAATACTTGTACTCTAACCTTTTCTTTTAATTACTACAGGATTCTGGATCAGATACCGGACCTCGTAGAAAGAAAGCTCGAGTTGTGAGTGATGACGAAGAGGAAGAAGGTGGAGGTGCTAGTGGGGTTGGGGGAAATGGTAGTGATACAGGAGGAGGGGGTACAGGAATTGATGTGGAGAGTGATTAGACCATGCAAAAATATGTATATAAAGTATGACATTTAGATAAGATATGTTGTAAATATCATGTGACACATCTCATTATCCAAATTCTTATTTTTTAAAATGGGAAATAAAACTACAACAAATCTTATTCATTATGTATTCATATATTTATAAGAATTCACAAAAAAGTTGAATTACTTTACCCCTGATGCACTTCGTGATATTGAAAGGAAACTTCATGTAGATAGGATTGGATAACCAATACATATTCCGACTGTAATTATGTACAAAGAAATCAATAGATGGATGAAAAAACCCACAGCCATTTGAGAGTCATTTCCAGACAGCTACATCTTGATGTTTAATTATCCAGCTTTAAACCCACTTACATAAATATATTTTTTATAAAATCTGTGATATTTCTTCTAGAAAGATGAAATGCTAAGCAAAGACATTTGTGTGGATTATATTCTTGTCAAGTTGTGAAATCTACCATGAACTCCATTCTCCCAAAAGATATTCCAATGGAACCTGATCAAACTATCACACACTGAGCAGCAAGCTATTTAATTTTCAATGTTACAAAGAGTCTAAGTCTGGTATTGAGGCCTTTTGATTGGAACATATCTGTTTGAAAACACAACAATCACATGTCATTGACACAGAATATCCTTAGCTCTGTCCTCACTTTCATTAAAAACAATAATTGTAAAAAATTTATTTTGGTACTTTCTATAGTTCCCTGTGATAAAAGAAGTGAGCATTGTTTTTTATCAATCATGCCAGCCTGTTACTTTGTACACAAAACCTTTTTCTGCTAATCTTGTTAAAATTTTTGAGATATTTTTACTATCATCTAAACCACTATGATGTCTTCCATCTAATGTTAAATGTAAATTGTGTAACATTGACTTCATACCATGAGGTCTTATTCCTGTTACTTCACGAAATGGCTGAAAATGAAATAGGAAAAATATCAAAAGCGTCGACGTTCATTGTGGGTTTAATGTGATTGTTCTCCAAACCAGGTTTAAAATAGCATTAGCCCTCAAAATGGAAGTGGTCAAAGCCTGTGTGATTTTCATTTATTTTTGGTTACTCTGTTCAATGAAATGAAATGGGGTTTAACGTCCTACTGTTCTGCTCCTAAACTGGGCTAATGAAGACGGGCATACGCCATACAGTGTGTTATGAGGGAAATTTTGCCCGGGCAGCAGCGCTACGGCCTACTCTTATATCGAATTCCAACTGCCAAGGGATCTTTTACGTGCATGCCAATATGTACACGGGACCTCGTTTTTTTGTCCCATCCAAACGACTAGACAGCTGTCCTTGTCAGGCCCTCCGTCCTGCATCACTGACAAGGGGAAACCACGCTGGAAAATCTGGATGAACTTTCTCGGCAAATGCAGGGATCGAACACCCGACCTCCAGGCTAGCGAGCCAGCGCCTTACCCACTTAGCCACGTGATCCCCCCTCTGTTCAATGAAAAATTGAAAAGGCCATAAGCAGGGTGTTTTTGGCTGTAAAATATAACCAAGACATATTTTTACACAAAAAGTATATAATACTACAGTTTATACTGTATTAATATTGATAGAGGAGTAAAAAAAAAATATTTACCGTTTTAATATTTATCCATTGATTATAATATTGTGGTAGTAGAATATTAAACCAGGCTGTTTCTCTTGGTAATCTGATAAATAAACAATATATTATCTTCAAGTTAGAATAATAGCAGGATGTCTGCTCTTATTAACCCTTAAGGCATACAAAGTAAAGTTTATGAAATATGTCTCAAAAATATGTATTTCATCTGCACTTTTTGCAGTGTGATCTCAAACATCTGGCATTCTTCTGTCTAACAATTAATTTTTAATTTCCGGGTTTGTTTTATTTCAAGAATATTTTAAAGATATAAACTTACTGTGTTTTTAAATCCCAGTCACCACAAGTTACAAATATAAATTTAACACCATCTTTTAACAACCCTTCTTTATTCATCCACTCGTCAACAAGCTATAGAAAATTTTATAATTTGCTAATTAAAAACATATTATTAAAATCTTAATTCTTAATTCTGCTAGGCATTGCCCTTCAATAATATAAGACAAATATATATTTTCTAAACAGTTCAATTATCAACACAATGTGATCATTTTACTGTGTTTCCATCTATTCTTCATCAAATTCCAACTTTTAATGGTCCTAATACATGCACACAAATGTACACATACATACTATCTCAACTAGACAACATGGTGCTTCTTCATTACTATCCAACCCATAATTGCTCGACTACTGTGAGCCCGGAAATGAGTAGAGGAGAAAGTGTGACAAAAAAATCACTGGGGTGATAAATTCTTTAATAAATATAGTCTTTAGATTGATTGCACAGCTACATAGAACTGGTCAATAACTGTGTGATAATTAATCCACAAATCTTCGGTTAGCCTTTCAACTAGGAGAACTGTCCAACAAATGTATATCTAGAAATTTGAGGGTATAAAAAGAAAGTTGGTTTCACATCTTACTTGTAAAGTTTTTCTTAAGTGTGGTTTTCCCCTCACCATATCTTGAGAGATACCTGTCACCTATACAAAAAAAAAGTTTTCTTTAAACATGCATTATGCAAGAGCTAAATCTGCTTATTGCAGGTCTTTCTTTAGGCCTGAAATGTTTTCTAAAGTATTAATTAGACATTAATTAACTGATCCAGGCCTTAATCAACTCTCGATGGCATCAGATTTCTCCGATATTAAATAGATTAGAATGGTTCAGCGATACTTTGATTTAATCAAATATGGAGGACCGAGACTTAGCTTCGATCAACCAGTACAGTGGTTGAAATTATTGCACACGTCTGTCAAACCTTCAAAGGCTAATATCTTCGCTTGCAATATAGTAATTTGAATGAAATTTTCAAATTATTCATTTTACATCATCTACTCTCGAACTATTATAGCAAGAATGGCTAGTTCTTTATCTAAATCTTACATAATGTATCTTTAATAAATCAGTTAAAGTCTCTGATCCTCATTTGAAGCAAATTTAATCATTTGTAAACTACAATATTGTGAAAATTCAATCAGTATTTGAGTACGTTTTAGCGTTGATTAAGCTGTGAAAAAAATTTGATATTGTCTAAGAAATACAAATGACAATTGTGATGAAAAACCGAACAATTAAAAAAATAAAATAATATTTCTCACATGTAGCAAACACACTACATGGTTTGTGTATTGGTGCTGAAAAATAGGATGTTAAACCCAATTTCATTGCATATATTAGCGTCAAACTATCTGACACTTATAATCTTTGAGTGGCATTTAGTGATTGAGCACATTAGAAAAACACAACACAATTTATATGGAATACAATCACTGGTTTATACACATATAGCACAACGTTTCAACAAGTATTCTCTTATGGTTATCAAGTACAAATTATTTCGACAAGTATTCGCTTATTGTTATCAAGTACAAATTATTTGTACTTCATAACGATAAGAGAATACTTGTCAAAACGTCGTACTATATGTGTATTAACCAGTGATTGTATTCCATAAAAATTGTGTTGTGTTTTTTTATCTGATATTTACCTTAGTACAGTATTCACAAATCTCATTGACTTCTGGTTCAACATATTGCTGGAATACTGATTCGATTTCAAACGTTTTAGCATTAACTTTGACGATTGGAAATTCAATTATTTCCTGAAAAATTGAAAACAAATATTATATAACATCTTATTGTGGTGAATTAATCATTAAAACAGCATAATAACCGTACACAAAATTTATCCTAATATTTTTTACAGTAGATTTGGTAAGGTTTTGTACACATGGATATTGGGCTATATTATAGTAATACCAGTACGATGTCACGGCGTGAAATAATTACCGGTGGATCTAACACTACTTAATACAAGTTATCATCCCCGCTGTATGGCAATAACACAATAACACCCACCATCGGCTTTATGATTTTGTGATCACCATTTGCCTCAAAATCTAACACTAGAAAATAATCGAACTGTTGTTTTGGGAACTGAAACGATACCATTATTCAACTCTGAACAAATGGATGGTTAAAAACTGTATGCATCAACTAAATTTTATCTCCAGAGTCCATGAAATCCTCGACTGTCAATATATAGCTATAAATTGTGTTACTATATTTATCCCCTTTGTAACACTACTGAAATGTTTAATAATCTATGGTGTTCTATTTCAGCCACTCCGCTTTTTTACGCCCACATTTTGTGAACAGTCTACAGGTCACAATTTTTATCCGATTTCAATGAAACTTGAAATGTAGGTTTATCACCCCAAGATCTCGATTCCTTTTGATATTGGCGTGTATCGGACTGTAACTTCGTGGATTATGGCCCCCTGATTGTACGAAAAATAACGTTTTTAGCTTGTGAACACTGTTGAGGTCACAATTTTTATCCGATTTGGTTTAAACTTGAAATGTATGCTTCTAACCCAAAGATCTCGGTTCCTGTAGATATTCGCGCATATCGGAACGTAACTTCCTGAATTATGGCCCCCGATTGTACGAAAAATCGCGTTTTTAGCTTGTGGACCCTATAGAGGTCATAATTTTTATCCGATTTAAAAAAACGTAATATTATATCACCGTTAAACCCTAAGGACGACTGAGTTCGAATTTCGGAAAAATCGGCCCAAAACTGACAGACAAAATGGCCGCCGTTCGTTCTCAAATAGCGTAAAAATATGGTATATCAAGGTTGTGGACCCTATAGAGGTCACAATTTTTATCCGATTTTGTTGAAACTTGAAATGTAAGTTTATAACCCAAAGATCTCGGTTCCTGTCGATATTTGCGCATATCAGAACGCAACTTCCTGAATTATGGCCCCTGATTGTACGAAAAATCGCGTTTTTAGCTTGTTGACTCTATAGAGATCATAATTTTTATCCGATTTAAAAAAACGTATTATTATATCACCGTTAAACCCTAAGGACGGCTGAGATCGAATTTCGTAAAAATCGGCCCAAAACTGACAGACAAAATGGCCGCCGTTCGTTCTCAAATAGCGTAAAAATATGGTATATCAAGGTGGTGGACCCTATAGAGGTCACAATTTTTATCCGATTTTGTTGAAACTTGAAATGTAAATTTATAACCCAAAGATCTCGGTTCCTGTCGATATTTGCGCATATCAGAACGCAACTTCCTGAATTATGGCCCCTGATTGTACGAAAAATCGCGTTTTTAGCTTGTTGACTCTATAGAGATCATAATTTTTATCCGATTTAAAAAAACGTATTATTATATCACCGTTAAACCCTAAGGACGGCTGAGTTCGAATTTCGTAAAAATCGGCCCAAAACTGACAGACAAAATGGCCACCGTTCGTTCTCAAACAGCGTAAAAATATGGTATATCAAGGTTGTGGACCCTATAGAGGTCACAATTTTTATCCGATTTTGTTAAAACTTGAAATGTAAGTTTATAACCCAAAGATCTCGGTTCCTGTCGATATTTGCGCATATCAGAACGCAACTTCCTGAATTATGGCCCCTGATTGTACGAAAAATCGCGTTTTTAGCTTGTTGACTCTATAGAGATCATAATTTTTATCCGATTTAAAAAAAACGTATTATTATATCACCGTTAAACCCTAAGTACGGCTGAGTTCGAATTTCGTAAAAATCGGCCCAAAACTGACAGACAAAATGGCCGCCGTTCGTTCTCAAATAGCGTAAAAATATGGTATATCAAGGTTGTGGACCCTATAGAGGTCACAATTTTTATCCGATTTTGTTAAAACTTGAAATGTAAGTTTATAACCCAAAGATCTCGGTTCCTGTCGATATTTGCGCATATCGGAACGTAACTTCCTGAATTATGACCCCTGATTGTACGAAAAATCGCGTTTTTAGCTTGTGGACCCTATAGAGATCATAATTTTTATCCGATTTAAAAAAAAACGTATTATTATATCACCGTTACACCCTAAGGACGGCTGATTTCGAATTTCGTGAAAATCGGCCCAAAACTGACTGACAAAATGGCCGTACGTCGTTCTCAAATAGTTTATAACCCAAAGATCTCGGTTCCTTTCGATATTCGTGCATATTTTAATCCGATTTAAAAAAAAACCGTATTATTATATCACCGTTAAACCCTAAGGACGGCTGAGTTCGAATTTCGTGAAAATCGGCCCAAAACTGACAGACAAAATGGCCGCTGTTCGTTCTCAAATAGCGTAAAAATATGGTATATCAAGGTTGTGGACCCTATAGAGGTCACAGTTTTTATCCGATTTTGTTGAAACTTGAAATGTAAGTATATAACCCAAAGATCTCAGTGGGCGTATCCTGCCTGGTTTTCGAGGGACCACGTCGTGTTAAACAGTGGGCATGTCAGTGGCTAAAATAGAACGCCATAATATTTACCTGTTGATTGAAGCTTTCTTTTACAGGTCTTAACGACATGGGGGCGGATAGGTGATTTTTATACGCCCACATAGAAATGTGCACGTATATTGCCATCGCCCCCGTCCGTACGTCCGTACGTCGTCCACAATTTCTTGTGAACGCTCTAACGCCAAAAGTTATCATCCAATTGTTTTAAAATTGATATATGTTGTTAACATTAGTGATATGAAGAAGCCTGTTTAATTTCAATTTAATTTCCGTTTATAACGTCTAGAGTTATGGCCCTTGTTTCACTTTGTTGAACCTTGTGAACGCTCTAATGCCAAAAGTTAACATCCGATCATTGTGAAATTTATATGCAATATTTAAATTAGGGAAACGAAGAAACCTATTGAATTTCAGCAATTTCCGTTTATTACTTCTAGAGTTATGGCCCTTTTTTCACTTTGTTTAACCTTGTGAACGCTTTAACCCCAAAATATGCATTATTTAAATTAGTGAAACGAAGAAGCCTATTTAATTTCAATAATTTCCGTTTATAACGGCTAGAGTTATGGCCCTTGTTTCACTTTGTTGAACCTTGTGAACGCTCTAATGCCAAAAGTTAACACCCGATCTTTGTGAAATTTATATGCAATATTTAAATTGGGGAAACGAAGAAGCCTATTGAATTTCAGCAATTTCCGTTTATTACTTTTAGAGTTATGGCCCCTGTTTCACTTTGTTTAACCGTGTGAACGCTTTAACCCCAAAAATTATCATCTTATCTTTCTGAAATCTATATGCATTATTTAAATTAGTGAAACGAAGAAGCCTATTGAATTTCAGCAATTTCTGTGTATTACGTCTAGAGTTATGGCCCTTGTCTCACTTTATTGAACCTTGTGAACTCCCTAACACCAAAAGTTATCATCCGATCTTTCTGAAATTTATATGCATTATTTAAATAAGTGAAACGAAGAAGCTTATTGAATTTCAGCAATTTCTGTTTATTAGGTCTAGAGTTATGGCTCTTGTTTCACTTTATTGAACTTTGTGAATGCTCTCACATCAAAAGTTATCTGTCGATCTGTATGAAATTTACATGCGTCATTTAAATTAGTAAAGAGAAGAATCCTATTGAATTTCAGAAATTTCGGTTTATTACTTGTAGAGTTATTGCCCTTGTTTAACTTTGTTCAACCTTGTTAATGCGCGATTGATGAAAGTTATCATCCGATATGTAGGCTATGAAATTTATATGCATCATTTACATTTGTGAAACGAAAAAGCCTGTCAAATTTCAACAATTTCTGTAGACTACTTCCAGAGTTGAGGCCCTTGTTTCAATTTGTAGAACCTTGTGAACCCTCAAACGGCAAAAATTATAATCTGATCTGTATGGAATTGTCTTGTAAAAGCCCCCCAATTACCTACAAAGGAATAAATATGCGACAACCCTTGTCGACCGCGCGGACGATTTAGCCGCTGTGGGCGTATGTTTCGTTGCCTGGAAACCTAACTTTGAAAAGGTGTTGGGGTGCAAACCAATCTGATTAAAACACAGATCCTATTTCGTTTCGTTTTTATAATTCAAAATTTCGTTTTACCTGACTTTACTACACTAGGATCTGGACGAGTTGTTATCATTGACGTGTTCTGAATGATGTGAGCTAGTAGCATAAGCCAATGAAACGGTCTGTTAAGGCGAGCTTTAGGCGTGTTTTGCACGGAACTGTGGGTAATCCACTAGATCAATACTGATTGGTTAATCAAATGTCTGACGTCATATGTCAAAAGCCGCTAGTATGACCTCTGACGCGACCTATCGCTACAACCGGTCAGATCTTCATGTAGTGTATAGGCCATCGAAAGTATAAAAAACGAAACGAAATATAAATCTGTATTTTAATCAGATTGGGGTGCAAACCCGATTCTTGTCGAGCCAAACGAGTAAAAAAAAAGACTTTGCCATAATTACGAGAAATATCCACAGGAAATTGGACTAAGAATTTCAATTTGTTTCTTGTTACATTAAAAGAGTTTGTTTGTTAAACCGTCGTTTGCTCGTTGCAAACAGATTATTGCCCAAAACTAGATACTTGCCACCCTGCTTAATATTACAGGCCATTTACCACATAATTTCACCACATAATATAAGAGACTGACACTATTATTATATTCTAATATATTTTGACCCATATTATTGGCGTGTAGCATACAGCCATTTTTATACAGTTTACAAATATATTCAATCTGATTAAAATACAGATCTGTAAATCGTTTCGTTTTAATATGTCCACATTATAATGCGGATGTATATTGCCGTCGCCCCTGTCTCTGTGTGTGTGGGTGTGTGTGTCTGTATGTTGCCTACAGGCCACAATTCTTAAATGATCATCTTGAAACTTTACATAGTTATTCCTTTACGCTACGGATGATACCTATTGTTTTTGGTGCATGCCCGACCCCAGGGAAAGAGCCACATCCATTTCTTGTATTTGTTTGTTTGCCGTCTACAGGTCGCATTTCTTAACGTATTATCTTTGCATACTTATAGACCGGGAACCCATGAGGCCAACCTAGCTGGAAAGTGTACCATTTTTGTCCTATATGTTATCAATGCATGTATATCTGGTATCATCAGAATGTAAGTCTACCGGGTTTCCGGTGGTGGGTGTGGTATTCCACGCCCAAAATGACATGCACCCCAACTAGGCTAGATTAGCTCAAAAGTGTACCTATGAAAATCGTACAGCAGTGTACCGTACATCTTCAGGTGTTACAAAAACACTGTAACAGTCAT